ATGAAATTGGAAACAATGAAATGGAATCGTAACAAATTTAGTATAGTGTGTGTTGCTCTTACGTGCAACAGATGGCGCTGTTTCTTATTAAAAAAATGAATGATTTTTACCTGTCACAGTTATGGCATTTATACTTATATTTACGAAATGAATGATATTGTAAACAACACAGCTCAATTTCAACGCAATGTCACCCAAAATAATTAGATCAAAATGAAAATAAATCAAAATTTAAGAAAATTCAACTTATCAGTGCAATTGGAAACATTGAAATGGAATCGTAACATATTTAGCATAGCGTGAGTTAATATTATGTGCAACAGATGGCGCTGTTTAAAAAAAAAAACATTATTTTACCTATCACAGGTGTGGCATCTATATAGTCGGTATATAAAAACATGTGTGTATTTGAATGGATCGTTTTGTCAAAATTTCAAGGCAATCGATGAATAACTTTCGGAGATTACAGCGTGTGTTGTTCTTACGTCCAACAGATGGCGCTGATTTTTAAAAAAAATTATTTTTTTCTGTCACAGGTGTGACATGCATATAGTAGGTATATAAAAACACACGCCTATTCGAATGCAACGTTGTGTCAAAATATCAAAGCAATCGGTAAAGAGGTTTCGAAGATTTCCCTCACATGAAAAACACAATTTTTTCGAAAAAACTATTTTTTCCCGTCACTGACGTGACATCTATATAATATGTATATATAAACCTGCTCGGGTGCGAATGGAACGTTGTGTGAAAATTTCAAAGCAATCGGTGAAGAACTTTTGGAGATTAGCGATTTTGAACACACGAACATTTACATTTTTATTTATATAGATATATGTATATATGTATGTATGTGTGTGTGAATGTATATGTATGTATGTGTATAAAGTATATCGGGCAGACACCCAGGGGGCGGAGGAAGCCCGCGCTGCTCCTGCTGCTGTAAACTCTTCTAGTATGTAATGGTAGGCATCTTATGTGTGTCCACGGCTGCCGTCCGCGACGCCTGGGTCTTCTCTATGGTCCCACAGTCTGTCCTGCTCCGACGAAATTATTATTTCATACTTCTTGGTCGTATTTAAAGTGCTCGAAAACATTGAGCTATGCCCGAAACGCTTTGCGTAATTGTGGCTTTAGGCATTGTATGTACTAGCTCTATCTATAAGTCCACCAATCTTTGTAAAAATCTCTTGTATGTATGTACCTTACCTAAATAAACATTTATTTATTTATATTTATATTTAGAGCAGCGGGACTTTCGTACCCCAGGTCCGAACTACACTAGCGGACTCAGTGCTGCACTGGGCAAAAGACTCTTATAATCTTATAGGAAAATCATTGCTGAAGCTTTGACTATAGGCCATGGTATACGCCCTAGGGTCTTCCTCCATTTGTAAGTTTAAAGATTAGGTTAGTTTGCTGGGACTAATTAGCCACGTGTCCGGGGGATTATGGTCAACAGCCCACCTGGATCACTCACACAAGTGACATGATCTGGGGTCGTGACCCCACACACACAGACCCATGAATTAGTTGACTCGTGTATAATTACGATCCCTATACTGGGAAAGGGGAAAATTTACCTTTGCTTGCCCTAGAGTTGAGTTTTTTATCAATTATTTCCGATTATGGGGAAAACTGACTCGTGGGATTTATTTATTTATGAGCAATTTATTAATTTATATTAATTGATTTCTTAGGTTAATTGATTTATTTTGATAGCGGACTTCATGAATTTAAAGTGGACTTTATGATACTAAATTCCTACAAAAATGTTTGCTACACAAGATGGGGTTTATTACTTATATTGTCTATCAATCGAAATTATAGATTGGCAGACTTTCACTACAATGTTAAGACCACATTGGTTAGTAAATCAAATATAACAAATACAGATTATCTGTATTGTTGATTTTGGGCTGGAGAACCAGATATGAACACGGAAGATCACAGACAAATACTCCTTGTAGTTGATGCTCGTGTAATCACACGTCCTGTGTTATAGCAGGTAATTGATTGCTAATTCTTCTCCCCCTTCAATTTCACCCGTCAAAGGGCACCCACAATAATACTCGTAACTATATATGTTACGTCTTCATGTGGTAGAGTGATAGTTGGAGTTGCTTCTACTTCATAGACTCTGGAGAGGGCGTCGGCTATGATGTTGTCAGACCCCTTGATGTAGAGATCTCCAGGTTGAATTTCTGCAGTTATCAAGCCCATTGTACAAGCGGTCGAGTGTTGAATTGGGCTTGCTGCAGGAAGTGTAGGGTGTTGTGGTCCGTGTTGATGGTGGTAGACCGAGCACTTTTCAGGTATTGTTTGAAGTGCTGCAAGTTCAGGACGATGAGTAGCTCCCTGTCGATTGTTCTGTAGTTCCTTGTAGCTGTGGTCGCTAACAGGTATATTCTCCTTGCCTCGTTGTTGTATTAGGTCACCCCCGATGTCGGTACCACTGGCGTCGACATGAAGGATGAAAGGCTTGGTGATATCTGACGAGGTGAGAATAGGATTAGAATATGGCAAAGGAGCACTATTATGGTCCTGAAAATGGTTATGAAGATCAGTTAGGATTTCCGAATTGGAAAGCGCTGACTCCGTGTCAGTGCTTTCGGGAGGAGAAGCAGGGAAGGTCTGACTGTGGATGTATGGACTTTTAAAGGAAGAATATGTTATCAATACAGTGGGAGGAGTACCATTATATAGCTTCAGGAGGTTGACGTGGCACAACTGGGTCTTCCGCCGCCTATCTGGAGTCTCTAGAACGTAGTTGTGGTTGTTTCTGCACTCCTTGATGCGGTAGGGTCCTGAAAACCTGTTTTGCAAAGGAGAACCTGGGATAGGGAAATAGGCAAGCACGAAGTCTCCCGGTTTAAATTTCCTTACTTTGCTGTTCTGGTCGTAATGAGTCTTCATCCTCTCCTGGGCTTTCAATAGATTATCCTTAGCAAAGTTATGCACCCACTCTAGAATGTGTTGTAGGTTTTGAAGAAACTGGGGCACATTCTGATGCTCACTGAAGGTGGCATCACGTAGAGAGTCTTTAAAAGCTTTGAGAGGAGTACGGCACTTACGTCCGTAGAGCATCTCATAAGGAGATACTCCTAGAGACTCATTGGGAAGACTTCTCAATATACACATGATTAAATCTATTTGCTTATCCCAATCCTTAGAGGTTTCATTGCAAAACTTCTTCAGGAGTGCTTTAATAGTCTGATGACTACGCTCAAGAGAACCCTGTGAAGCAGGATGATAGGGGCTGGACAATACCTGTTGAACTCTTCCAGTGTCCTCTTGAAGAGATCACTGGTGAAGTTGGTGCCACAGTCGCTCTGAACCTCCCTTGGAAATCCATACTGGGTGAAGATCTTCAATAAGTGTTTCACCACCGTAGCAGCCGTAATGTTCTTTACTGGAACTGCTATGGGAAATCTGGTGGTAGGACTCAGGATGGTTAAGATATAGGCGTTACCAGAACTGGTCCGAGGTAAAGGACCAACACAGTCTATAATAAGTCTGTGGAAAGGTTCCGCAGGCACCTGGATGGGTGTCAGTGGTGCTCTGGGGATAGAGATGTTCGGTTTACCTGCCATCTGACATGTATAACACTGTTTGACGTACTGTTTGAAGCTCACTGAGGAATCCTTCAGAAGATTCCTTCTGAAGATGTATTTAATATACGAAAGTACTTAAGGAAATTCCTGTTTCATTTTCCTCCGTGGTCTGACATTGTCACATTCTTAATCACGTGTTTATTTTTGTGATATACACACACACACACATATATATATATATATATATATATATATATATATATATATATATATATATATATATATATATATATATATATATATATATATATATATATATATATATAATCGTTTGTGTTTGTTTATACCAACACAAACGAAGAACAGTGACAAGTCGAGATAAGACAGCATCTTTCTGAAGGAATACAATCCATGACACTTGACTAACTCCCCTGTACTTATTTAATTGTAAGTGAACAGGAATCTTTAGATGTAAGTGAACATCCAAAAGTATCCAAAATTTCTCGCCCCTGCCCGCGAATGGCACCCAGGACCATTTGGGTACTGTCACGGTCCTCATGTTATCGTACGCAACCCCATCCTCCTGAAATGATGGGACTTACGGTAACTTTGTGGTTGAAAATACCAGTATGTAGTGATGGGCCGCGATTGGTCCACTTTTTGTACTATTACTTGTATAGAAAACGGGAAAAAATACAGCTTAAAGCCAAACTTAAATATTCCTAGGCCTAGTGCAGCACATATATATATGTACCGAATTAGGCCTAAGATAGCGTGTGTTACAGCTAGGATTGCTGGGAGCTGGTGAAGCCTGCAGCACAGGACCACTACCGCTCCTGTACTGAAAAGCTTCCCACACACCACAGCTTCCCCCCCCCCCCCTTGACGTGTACCGGGGTGACCCACGATGGGTTATTCATTGACTCACTGTGTACCCAGCGGCCACAATGTCCACGAGCAAACGCCAACTCAACGCCGAATACACTTCATCAACGTCGAACCAACGCCATTCTTGCCTGTTGTTCCCGTTAGGTAATGATTTTCCGCTTCTGTAAAGGACATTTTTATTATATGTTTTATGTTATTTGATCTCTAGCCTAAGTTTTTTCTTGACAATATGCTGTTTATTTTGAAGGCAGACAACATGTGTAGTTATGAGGTGTTCGGGTTAGCCTATATATGTTCCTCTCAAACATTTATATTTGCTGCTGATATTTCCTATCAATTTCTAATCACTCATCCCTTTTATTCTTAGCTTTTGATTTGGTAAATTTCATCATAATCTTCACGTGTCTTGCTACTGTCTGTTTCCCCTCAATAATAAACACAACATGTTAGCACACAAATGGAAGTTAACATGCTAATTATTTAGCTTTTTATATTTCCTGTCACTAAATTCGTGAGTAAAACATTGAATAAACATTTCTTTTTGGCAAGGGTTCCCTTATGCAACACAATGGCCTGTACGGTCTGTACGGTCTGCACGGTCTGTACGGCCTGCACGGTCTGTACGGCCTGCACGGTCTGTACGACCTGCACGACCTGTACGGTCTGTACGGCCTTCACGACCTGTACGGCCTGCACGATCTGTACGACCTTCACGACCTGTACGGTCTGTACGGCCTTCACGACCTGTACGGCCTGCACGATCTGTACGGCCTGCACGGTCTGTACAGCCTGCACGGTCTGTACGACCTGTACGGTCTGTACGGCCTTCACGACCAGTATGGCCTGCACGATCTGTACGACCTTCACGACCTGTACGGTCTGTACGGCCTTCACGACCTGTACGGCCTGCACGATCTGTACGACCTTCACGACCTGTACGGTCTTCACGACCTGTACGGCCTGCACGATCTGTACGGCCTGCACGGTCTGTACAGCCTGCACGGTCTGTACGACCTGTACGGTCTGTACGGCCTTCACGACCAGTATGGCCTGCACGATCTGTACGGTCTGTACGGCCTGCACGGTCTGAACGGTTTGTACGGACTGCACGGTCTGTACGGCCTGCATGGTCTGTACGGTCAGAACGGTTTGTACGGACTGCACGGTCTGTACGGCCTGCATGGTCTGTACGGCCTGCATGGTCTGTACGGTCTGTACGGCCTGCATGGTCTGTACGGCCTGCACGGTCTGTACGGCCTGCATGGTCTGTACGGCCTGCACGGTCTGTACGGTCTGCACGGTCTGTACGGACTGCATGGTCTGTACGATCTGCACGGTCTGTACGGCCTGCACGGTCTGTACGGCCTGCACGGTCTGTACGGTCTGTACGGCCTGCACGGTCTATACGGACCGCACGGTCTGTACGGCCTGCATGGTCTGTACGGCCTGCACGGTCTATACGTACTGCAAGGTCTGTACGGCCTGCATGGTCTGTACGGCCTGCACGGTCTGTACGGCCTGCACGGTCTGAACGGTCTGTACGGACTGCATGGTCTGTACGGTCTGAACGGTCTGTACGGCCTGCATGGTCTGTACGGCCTGCACGGTCTGTACGACCTGCATGGTCTGTACGGCCTGCACGGTCTATATGGACTGCATGGTCTGTACGGCCTGCATGGTCTGTACGGCCTGCATGGTCTGTACGGCCTGCACGGTCTATACGGACTGCATGGTCTGTACGGCCTGCATGGTCTGTACGCCCTGCATGGTCTGTACGGCCTGCATGGTCTGTACGGACTGAATGGTCTGTACGGTCTGAACGGTTTGTACGACCTACATGGTCTGTACGGCCTGCATGGTCTGTACGGCCTGCACGGTCTGTACGGCCTGCATGGTCTGTACGGCCTGCACGGTCTATATGGACTGCATGGTCTGTACGGCCTGCATGGTCTGTACGGCCTGCATGGTCTGTACGGCCTGCACGGTCTATACGGACTGCATGGTCTGTACGGCCTGCATAGTCTGTACGGCCTGCATGGTCTGTACGGCCTGCATGGTCTGTACGGACTGCATGGTCTGTACGGACTGCATGGTCTGACCGGCCTGCATGGTCTGTGCGGACTGCATGGTCTATACGGCCTGCATGGTCTGTACGGCCTGCACGGTCTGTACGGCCTGCACGGTCTATACGGACTGCATGGTCTGTACGGCCTGCATGGTCTGTACGGCCTGCATGGTCTGCATGGTCTGTACGGCCTGCATGGTCTGTACGGCCTGCCTGGTCTGTACGGACTGCATGGTCTGACCGGCCTGCATGGTCTGTGCGGACTGCATGGTCTGTACGGCCTGCACGGTCTATACGGACTGCACGGTCTGTACGGACTGCACGGTCTGTACGGCCTACACGGCATGTACGGCCTGTACGGCCTGCACGGTCTGTACGGCCTGCACGGTCTGTACGACCTGCATGGTCTGTACGGCCTGCACGGTCTATATGGACTGCATGGTCTGTACGGCCTGCATGGTCTGTACGGCCTGCATGGTCTGTACGGCCTGCACGGTCTATACGGACTGCATGGTCTGTACGGCCTGCATGGTCTGTACGGCCTGCATGGTCTGTACGGCCTGAATGGTCTGTACGGTCTGAACGGTTTGTACGGCCTGCATGGTCTGTACGGCCTGCATGGTCTGTACGGCCTGCACGGTCTGTACGGCCTGCATGGTCTGTACGGCCTGCACGGTCTATATGGACTGCATGGTCTGTACGGCCTGCATGGTCTGTACGGCCTGCACGGTCTATACGGACTGCATGGTCTGTACGGCCTGCATGGTCTGTACGGCCTGCATCGTCTGCATGGTCTGTACGGCCTGCATGGTCTGTACGGACTGCATGGTCTGTACGGACTGCATGGTCTGACCGGCCTGCATGGTCTGTGCGGACTGCATGGTCTATACGGCCTGCATGGTCTGTACGGCCTGCACGGTCTGTACGGCCTGCACGGTCTATACGGACTGCATGGTCTGTACGGCCTGCATGGTCTGTACGGCCTGCATGGTCTGCATGGTCTGTACGGCCTGCATGGTCTGTACGGCCTGCATGGTCGGTACGGACTGCATGGTCTGACCGGCCTGCATGGTCTGTGCGGACTGCATGGTCTGTACGGCCTGCACGGTCTATACGGACTGCACGGTCTGTACGGACTGCACGGTCTGTACGGCCTACACGGCATGTACGGCCTGTACGGCCTGCACGGTCTGTACGGCCTGCACGGTCTGTACGGCCTGCACAGTCTGCACGGCCTGTACGGTCTGTACGGCCTGCACGGGCTGTACGGCCTTCACGGTCTGTACGGCCTTCACGGTCTGCACGGTCTGTACGGCTTGCACAGCCTGCACGGTATGTACGGCCTGCACGGCCTGCAAGGCTATTCCCATCTCCCGAAATTTTCCTGTTCTCATTTTCAAACAATTTTGGAATCAAAACACTCAGATTTTCATGCGTCTTCCTGATATTTCTATATTACTTTATTCCTTGATTATTCTCATTTGTTTAATTAATACATATTTTTGTTCGATCAATATATAATATATTAGAGACACTCACACCCCTACCCTCCGTCTCCTCCCTCCCTCCCTCCCTGCCACACACACCCCTACCCTCCGTCTCCTCCCTCCCTCCCTCCCTGCCACACACACCCTTACCCTCCGTCTCCTCCCTCCCTCCCTCCCTGCCACACACACCCTTACCCTCCGTCTCCTCCCTCCCTCCCTCCCTGCCACACACACCCTTACCCTCCGTCTCCTCCCTCCCTGCCACACACACCCTTACCCTGCGTCTCCTCCCTCCCTGCCCACACACACCCTTACCCTCCATCTCCTCCCTCCCTGCCACACACACCCTTACCCTCCATCTCCTCCCTCCCTGCCCACACACACCCTTACCCTCCATCTCCTCCCTCCCTGCCCACACACACCCTTACCCTCCGTCTCCTCCCTCCCTGCCACACACACCCTTACCCTCCATCTCCTCCCTCCCTGCCCACACACACCCTTACCCTCCATCTCCTCCCTCCCTGTCCACACACACCCTTACCCTCCATCTCCTCCCTTCCTGCCCACACACACCCTTACCCTCCGTCTCCTCCCTCCCTGCCACACACACCCTTACCCTCCGTCTCCTCCCTCCCTGCCACACACACCCTTACCCTGCGTCTCCTCCCTCCCTGTACACACACACCCTTACCCTCCGTCTCCTCCCTCCCTGCCACACACACCCTTACCCTCCATCTCCTCCCTCCCTGCCCACACACACCCTTACCCTCCATCTCCTCCCTCCCTGCCCACACACACCCTTACCCACCATCTCCTCCCTTCCTGCCCACACACACCCTTACCCTCCATCTCCTCCCTCCCTGCCCACACACCCCCTTACCCTCCATCTCCTCCCTCCCTGCCACACACACCCTTTCCCTCCATCTCCTCCCTCCCTGCCCACACACACCCTTACCCTCCATCTCCTCCCTCCCTGTCCACACACACCCTTACCCTCCATCTCCTCCCTTCCTGCCCACACACACCCTTACCCTCCATCTCCTCCCTCCCTGCCCACACACACCCTTACCCTCCATCTCCTCCCTCCCTGCCCACACACACCCTTACCCTCCATCTCCTCCCTCCCTGCCCACACACACCCTTACCCTCCATCTCCTCCCTCCCTGCCCACACACACCCTTACCCTCCATCTCCTCCCTCCCTGCCCACACACACCCTTACCCTCCATCTCCTCCCTCCCTGCCCACACACACCCTTACCCTCCATCTCCTCCCTCCCTGCCCACACACACCCTTACCCTCCGTCTCCTTCCACCTGCAAATTCTGTAACTCCTCTGATCAACTGTTGTTTCCATTCCGAATCTCCATAAACATGTGTATCCATGACGGATTGTTGCTATTACTGATTCTCTCCCGCGGCCACCTCCTTTTCGTCCATAATGATTGGGATTGCCAGCTGCAACCACATTATACCACCGGACAGATTCACTGGTGTGTTCTTCTGTCCTTTCCTCAGTGCCCTTCTCACGGTGATGTTGCCTGATAATACCTCTAACTTTAACGTCATTGTGATGGTCAGAACAATAATGTACACAGGAACACCCACTGTTAGTCTTTCTGTGCACTCTGAACTTTAAATATTTATTAATCCTATTAATGGCAATATCCACGAAAGGCAACATTCCATTTGTTGTTTATTTCTCTCTATAGTAAACTTGAGTTTAAACTTCAACACAAAATGGTTTTACTTCACGTGTTCAAATTTGAGTATATCAGAAAATAATGAACATTGAGAGAAAACCTAATCTATTTCCTCTAAATTCGTATGAATATTTGCTATTTTGATCATCTCTTTTTCAATAATTAAATACTTTATTAAACAAACTTACAGTTACAAAATTCATTGGTTATGAAATACAAACAAAAAATAAATATAGTTTGTTTTGAAGAAGCTGTAGATTTCCTTCCGGTGTCGGAGGAGCGTCTTAAACTCCTCCAAGACTGGGCAGGAAACTCTCTGGAGTGATACACTGAGGTGCTGTAAAATAAGCCTGCTGCTATAGAGTCTCTTGTTGCTTCGATGATCCTGGAACCCAATTCATTGTATTTTCTTCCCATATACTAAGAGCCTCGGATCCTCTAGGAACAAAGTTGTACTGGAAGTCTATTTTCCTGTATTGTTTCTTTTGACTCTTTTCCTGTTTATGTCAATGGCACCTGTTTGACCAGCAGAGAGGGTAACATATGTGGCTGCCAAGATGGATACACATATATATAGTCCCAAGTCAGTTATCTACCATTTCTTCATGGAATGTTACACAACAGTACAGACCATTCAGTCTATCAGTGAGGACAGTAGAATTATGGGACATTAGAAAAGAAGGCTCTCTCTCTGCTGGACACTGGCAGAGGTAAGGCAATGACGTTATTGATGTCCTCGTTCATTGTGTGCCATGCCATGGGTTTTCTTCAGAGCGGGCCGTGCAACCCATGTTCTGCCCGCCACTTTTACACTTGTGTGGAGTGTGGATTGGAGCAGCCAAAACCGAAGACCACTGTGATACAAAGTTGCTGTGAATAATGACGTGTGCCTGTGTCAAACATGAGCAGGACACGAAGCTGTGTGGCGGGAACTATTACTGGGTATTTTTCTCCAGCAAAGTTGTATCTTCTTTATCCATGATGAGGCTGTTGCCAGCTGGATTGCATGTTGGTTTTTGGTAGGGTTGATCTGAGTGCCGAGGCGGCAAGGATATCTCATTTTCTGATGCATTCGGCAAAGCATGGGTCATGTGTCCCTGCTGAGTCACTTAGATTATTTGTAGAATTTCCTCGACCAGGTGATCAAGGGCTAAGAAAGCTGTGCAGACATCAAGGCCACCGAGTCTGACTGGAAGAGTGGCTTGTTTGAACAGAATGTTATTGAAAGAAAGGTTGACAACGTTTTCTTACCTCATCTATAGAAGAATGTCATACTCTTCAAGCTTTAGGCTGTCGTTTGAAGCTGCGCACATCAAAAATTAGGTTAGCCTTGGAAGGAATAGGCATTATGCGGAAAGAAAAAAATGCACCAAGAGCATCTATGTAGGCAATCCCATCTTCCATCCTTTTTAGGTCAGTGATTCTCTTTCCAAGGATCTCGTCAATGACGTTTGGTGCAAGAGGAGTTCTGAGGAAAGTGCTGTCTGAAGGCGTGATTATATAATCTCTCCTTGCAAGACAGCTTATACTCATTTTATGACGATTACGTTTAAGGAGACTTTCTCACACTTTGAGGAGTTTAGAGAGATACGTGTGTGTTTTATATTATATATATATATATATATATATATATATATATATATATATATATATATATATATATATATATATATATATATATATATATATATATATATATAAACTTGTGAGGGTACCACCTCTGGTATGCAAGTGTGGGGACCCGCAGCCTCGGAGAATAAAATATAGAGTATTCAGAGCAGATCTTGTGGATTCTCACTGATCACTTAAATATTTTCTTCGCCACCCCCCCCCCCTTCTTTTGTATGTATATTCATGTATATTTCTTTTATTCAAAATTGGTTACAAAAAAGGAGTTACATCTAGGGTACAAAGATGATTATCATAAGTTGTCGAGTTCCTCCAGCTCCTCAAATGGCGGGCAGGAACCCTGAATGCTGTGTGCATTTTCCCTCTGTATCACCACTCTGAGGCGCTGGAAAAGGAAGCTGGCAGCTCTAGGGTCTCTTGTTGTTTCAATTAGCCTAGAACCCAGTTCCTTCAAAAAACTGGTGACACTTTTGCCCTAGGTGCCGAGTGTCTCAGAAGCAATAGGAACAAAATTATAGTGGTAATCCAGTTCTCTGTACTTACGAGATTTGGCTGATTGCCTGGGGGTGGCAGCGCCACCTGGTTGTGCAACACTGGAGTCAATGTAGGTGTTAGCCAGGGTTGATACGCACGTGTAGTCCCATACCAACTGCTTGCTATTCTTTCAGTGGTTCACTGTGATACCATCTGGGCGACCAATAAGAGCATCAGAGTTACGGGGCGTTAGGTAACGGGGCTCTCTTTCAGCTGGGCATCCAGCTGTGGTGAGGCTCCTCTTGATGATGTCGTTAACTTCACTGTGCCTTGAATGCCATCCCCGTGCTTTGGCAGAGTAGGCCATGGTGGCCATACCTGTCAGCCACCATCTCACTGCAAATACACATATATTTGGTGTGGATTGGGGCAGCAAGGTGGAGGGGCCACAGCAATTCAGAGGGCGTGTGGTGTGAGACGCGTGCCAGTTGCCAATTTTGGAAGTGTTAACAGGAAGTCCCCTTCATGTGGGGCTGCTACTGCTGTGAGGTGAGCAAGCAATGTCGTGTTGTGTTGTTGCGGCACTCAGGCACTCTGCAGCAACTTGGTCTACAATGGGGCCATCCCAGCTAGATTGCTTATGGGCTTTTGAGGGTGGTGGTTGAGATGATGGGCCTGCATGAGAGGCCCACTCTGTAGCACAGCGTATAAAATTGGGATCATGTACGCCTACCAGCTGATGTAAGTAGGCAGGTAGAATTTCCTTCACAAGGTCGTCGGATGCCAAGGAGGAGGACAGGAAGGCTGGTACAGCGATTTGCGTTGCTGTTCGAACTCCAAGGCCCCCAAGTCTTCCGGGAAGAGAGGCTTGTTTCCACTGTAGGTCATCGAAAGAGGGGTTGAGGGCTTTTTCTAACATTTATTTCAGTAACAGGTCATACTCTCCTAGTTTTGGCTACTGTACGATAGTGAACACCTCAGAAAGTAGGTTAACCTGGGGAGGGACAGACATGTGGTGAAGATGTTAAGTGGGTCATGAGCATCAATATCCTCAATCCTCCCATCCATCCTCTTAAGGTCGGCGATTTTTTTATCAAGGACCACATCAATGGCTTTCAACCCCAGGGAGGCTCCTAGGAGTGTACCGTCTTCAG